AAAGAATCTCGTCACTTGCTTGAACTTCACTGAACAAAATGGAGCTGCAAAAATGGCGGATTTAGTCAACAGCTTCAGCTTTTCCGCACCGCATTGGTCTCTTGAGGTAAAAAGCATACTGATTTTTTGATTCACTTGATTCCGATTCATCTTTTCATGTGTTCATGGACACATAGTGTACGGCGGCCGTTTGTTCTGGCTCTGATCTTTGATCAACTCCAAAGAAATTAGGGTTATTAGGATGTTTCAATTGTTTGAATGGTGGTAATTTTTCTGATCAAGAGAATTAGTTCTGAGAATTATTATTGTGTATTATGAATGGTTGCATTGGGTGGCACATTGAAGGATCTCCATTTGGATGAAAATTTGTTCTCAGTTATTCAAAGGGCTGTGCCTGATATTTTAATTAAAACGTTATGTTCTGAGTGAGCTCTTGATATTCCAGAAATTCAAGTTTTGAAATGCCTTATATTTTGATTGCAATTTTTGTTTAAGAGGGCGTGAAAATGGGAATCCGTTGCATTTTTGTCGAGCACAGCTCCCATCTTGCCTAGAGTGAGTAAATTGGCGAATTTATAAACACATTTTATTAATTTGCCCTTAAAATGACGTTGCTTCATAGATGTCATGTGGTCATATAGTTCAGCTGTTCAGCATTTTATAAATCCTTTATTGAGGATCGCCTCTTGCCAGCGTTTTCAACTCTCAAACGGAAAACGGAAAATACAATGAAAAACAGAGGTTTTTTCAGATGGTATGCTTATTATGTCATACCCAGTGAAATGTGTCTCAGTTCGAAATTTGACTTGCTATATTTCATATTTTGCAGTGTGTTTAGTTCTTCTCCTCAATGATGTCAAAAGTTCATCCTCCGCGAAGCCTTCATCCTGGCAAGGCTCCTAAGCTTTTACTTACATGTATTGCTTAAATACCGCTGAATTTGTTTCCAAGTAAGGTTTTGCTTTGTGATAAGAAATTCTGGACCTACTTTCTGGCTTTGGCAATTTACTCGAAGATTGTGGAGTTGACATCTGTCACCATTGCATTTTTTCTCCAAAAGAGGAGAAAACCAGCAGTTTCTATATGGAACAACCAAAGAATCACGACCTTGCCCATTTCAATTCCTCTGAACATAGGACCGTAGATAATGGTCCCGACTCACAAGTTTTCATGGCCGATTCTTCAGGCCATGCGAACATGAGCCTGAAGCTGCCAGAGATCACTTTTTCAGAAGCTAAACCGGTGCTTAATTACTCCATACAGACTGGTGAGGAATTCTCACTCGAGTTCATGCGTGACAGATTCAATCCGAGGAAGCTCTTACTAGAAACATACAGTGACACCTCTCAAGCTCCTGGTCACTTGGAGCTAAAGGGCATTTTGGGAAAGGCCAAACGGGATCTGAAAGCAGTACCGATATCTCCATGATTACCCCTGTGGAAAAAGAATCGAAACAACTCTCACAAAAGAATCCATCTGCAAATGGGGACATTGTGAATAATAACCATGGCAATCTCCATTCAATGCAGGCCGTCCCATGTGCTCCAATTATATCCGACAGCTCATCAATAAAGCTTAAGATATTATGCAGCTTTGGTGGAAAGATTCTGCCTCGGCCAAGTGATGGGAAACTCAGATATGTCGGTGGGGAAACTCGCATTGTCCGGATAAACAGGGATATTACATGGAAAGAGCTGTGGCAGAAAGCGAATGCAATCTATGAAGAGACATGCGCTGTGAAATATCAGCTCCCTGGGGAGGATCTCGATGCCTTGGTAACCATATCGAGCGACGAGGATTTACTGAACATGATGGAGTAGTGTAATGTTCTACAAGATGGAGAATGGTTAAGAAAGCTCCGGATGTTTCTGTTCTCTCCCGAGGATTTAGACGAAGCCAATTTCAGTCTAACCAATGGTGATTAACAATTCTGACATGAAATACGTAGTGGCTGTCAATGGTATTGGCTTCGGGTCGCGAAAGGGCTCTGGAAACAATCTAAACAAGTTGGACACGCAGAATATTTTTAATTGGGAGATGAGTAGGACTGACGATCTCCAGCTTGCTGGGGTTAGTAGCTCGAATTTAGCAGGTTTTCTTGTCCCCCCAATAGCAGCAGGACCTTCTCCACCGACTCTGCCTATTTCTTCTGGAGTTTATGGTGCTGATTTGTGGTACTATCATGGTCATTCTGTGTAACAGGAACAACAAATGCAGCATCCTCGACAGTATTATGCGCCTACTGAAATCAGTCTGCCACAATCTTCCCATGTGCCCGTTCCCGAACAAAAAGATCTTGAAGGGATGTCTCTTAACAGCTCGGGCACACTTGACAAGGACGTGAGAGAAAAAGACGCTACACTGAAAACCAACGGCTTGACTAAATCAGAGAGTGAGAAACAGCAAACATTTGTTAACGAACAATTTGTTCCATCACTGGCGCACAGGGATAGTGCTCCAGCTAGTCTGCCTGCTGAGGAGCCATCATGCATGGTCTCTAAACTGGAGAAAGAATTGTCTTCAAAGAATTTAGTTGGCAATTCGGAGTCTGATCTTACTGATTTGAGCTACTTTGGGTCTTCTCTTCCTCCACAGAGAGTCTTCCGTTCTGTGTGGATTCCCCGAGAGCAAGGGGAGTCTCTCAGCAGAATATCAAAGTCGGATGATTCACACAATTCTCAGTTTCTGGTTAATCAGTCGAATAATGATGATTCCCAGAAGGATTTGTTTGCAGTGTCTGTTGTTGATAAACCGCAGAACGTGCATTTGAATATTCCTACTGAACAGCAACATTCTACAGAAGGGGCTATCCCTCAAGAATCCGAAAGTGTCATTAATGGCCATTCTAGGAATCAGAACCTAAAGCAGATGAACCCAGTTGAAGTTATCGATTCAACACGCAATGATCGTATTCTAAAGGGAGAGACAGAGCCTGCATTGAAACTTCCTGATGTGAGCCTTGAGGGTATAGTGAAAGACTCTGAAGATTCTACTATTCGGTGGGTTGAAGGGGCTACACAGGCCATTAATAATGATGCTCAACCGTCAACTTGGACTGGAAATCAAGAAGTCTAGTGTTGGTGTTCCAGTGACCAAGCAAGGAGACATTCTTATCGATATCAATGATCGGTTCCCTCGCGACCTTCTTTCTGAAATATAAACTAAGGCCATTCTATCTGATAGTTCGTCTGATTTTGGTCTTCTACAAAAGGATGGGCCTGGTTTGAGTGTTAACATAGAGAATCATGATCCCAAACACTGGTCCTTTTTTCAGAGACTAGCAGGGGATGAGTTTGCGAGAAGGGATGTTTCTCTTATTGATCATGACCAAATTGTGTTGCCATCTGGACTTACGGAAGTCAAGGAAGAGGCACCTCTAGCATACGACTTTGTACCACAGGCGAGAGATGGAATTCTTCCATATCACAAGGGAGTTCAGAAGAAATTCGGGGAAGATTATCAGAAAGAAATGCCTGCCAATGATGGTGCTGTCTCTTCAGTCGTTCATCTCGATTATGATTCATCACTGGTGCAAGTCAGCGAAGTAGTGCGGTACGATGATTTGATGGACAATACGAGAAATCGTGACTCTGGATTCGAGGTGTGTGTTCATTTGATGAATTCTGTAGATGGGTCATTTATTTGACCATGCTAATTCTTTTTAATGAATCTGTAGTTGTTTCCTGTATTCTAGGATGGATTTGGAAATGTTGACTTGGCTTCTCTAGATCGTTCTTTGGTGGATATTGACCTCACCTCACTGCAGGTTTGTACCGATGATGATATGTAACTTGGTGTTCATGCTAGTGTTAGTTTTCACGGAGCAGGCTGATTCAAAGCCAGCTTCTTTTTCAAAATAATTTGGTAGATTGTGATTTAAAAATTTGGCATGATCTTCTCTATTACAGTTTCCACATAGTTATATGTCGTGAACTGGTAAAGTGGTTTAGCGATTAATTAACCGTGTATGATTTTGATGTTGGTCTGTTGAAATGATAGCACCATTAACTTATAAATTGCAATTTTAACAATTAAATCAGATTTTAAACTGTATTGTTTTTCCACAACTGTGTTGTGGCGTTTCCAGATAATAAAGAATGTGGATCTTGAGGAACTGAGGGAGCTTGGATCTGGTACATTTGGAACTGTTTATCATGGTAAATGGAGAGGTTCAGATGTAGCAATCTAGCGAATAAAGATGAGTTGCTTCACTGGTCGTCAATCGGAGCAAGAGAGACAGGTAATTGGTAATAATATGTTGTGGTCTGCTATTGTTCTTCACCACACAAAATTTACATGTTTTGTAGTTCTTCTTTTTCTTTTTTCTTTCTTTCTTTCTTTCTTTCTTTNTCATGAAAGTGAACTTGCTTTATATCTGTTGATATTGTTATTACCATTAGCAACTCAGTCCTTGCATATACGCCTTTAACGTCATTCCGACTTTTACACTTCCAGACCATGGAATTTCGGAGGGAAGCTGAAATTCTCTCCAAACTTCACCACCCAAATGTGGTTGCTTTGTATGGTGTAGTACAAGATAGCCCTGGAAATACATTGGCTACTGTAACAGAATACATGGTTGATGGCTCTTTAAGACATGTTTTGCTGCGGAAGGACAGGTATCACTCATACACGTGCTCAGTTTTACTTGGTTCAGTAATACGATTTATGAAAATTTACTTGGAATTCTATCCTCTGTTTTGCTTTAGTCCTTCTCCCAATATGGGTGTTTATCCTCTTGGATAGTGCTTCCCTTTGTCTTTTCTTACTATTTCTCCTCCGCCAATCGTATTTATTTTTGCTTCGTTGATTTGTTTCAATGCAAAATTTCAGGCATCTTGATCGCCGGAAGAGACTCATAATTGCCATGGATGCAGCTTTTGGTATGGAATATTTGCACTCAATGAATATAGTACACTTTGATCTGAAATGCGACAATTTGCTTGTTAACTTGAAAGATCCTTGGGGACCTATATGCAAGGTAAGTAGTATCTGTGGTAAATTAATTTCTGATTTCAATATAATGTTGTGATAATTATGAGAATGAAGTATTTTGACGTCAGCCTATTACCAAGATTGTGATATAACTGATCCAATTCTGATGTTGGCTTGAAAATTATCAGGTTGGGGATTTTGGGTTATCGAAAATAAAACGTAACACCTTGGTTTCGGGGGGAGTTAGAGGAACTCTTCCATGGATGGCCCCTGAGCTTCTGAATGGAAGTAGCAATGAAGTTTCGGAGAAGGTTAGATTTGATTGCAAACCATATTTTCAGATAAATCGAATTTATAGAGAATTTAGAAATTAAAAAATTATTAATCGCATGCCCCTTCATACCAACAATCTTGAATATTCTAAATTATATATTTTCTCTTTCACCATACTCGTTTGCTGAATTGTTCATTTGATAGGTTGATGTCTTTTCATTCGGTATCGTCTTATGGGAGATTCTCACTGGGGAGGAGCCTTATGCCAGCATGCATTATGGTGCAATCATAGGTTTGTAATTCGAGCCTTTTCTTACAAACTACTTACACTGTTCAGGCTTGTAAGAATTTTGATGCTTTAAATGGCATATGATTTATGAATATAATTTGATCTTCGTTAAATAAAAAAAAGAAAGAAAAAAAAAAGTGCGTTCTTGAATTTGATTTGTTACTCTTGACGTCCAGGAGGTATCGTCAACAACACATTGAGGCCAAAAATTCCGAGCTACTGTGATGCTGAGTGGAGGGCATTAAGACCGTCTCCAACCGTACCCGAAAACCCAAAATTTGTGGTAAAACAACTCCCGCGCAAAATGCAGCATTTTGTTTCTCTCTCCTATTTCAGACGCAAATTTGCGTTCTACGCAAAATTTTTGCGTTTGAAGTATTTAAATTGCAATCAACCCCATTTTTCTATTTAAATTGTATATTGGTCATTAACTTATTTTTTACAACAAAATTATATACCATCTATTAACTATTATTCAAGAAAAAAAATACATAATTTTTCCTCTCTTGATCGCAATGTAATTTTTTTATGATAAAAAAAAAATTCTTTAATTATGACAATGAAGTAATTTGAGTTATTAGGTAAGATAATTTTATTTTATAATTATTTTGCTTGTAAAAATACACTAAAGTATAAAATATAACAAATATATATATATATATATATATATATGTATATATATACACAGTATATATATATACTGTGTATATTAGATCCCACACCTAAATAAATATTTGTAACAAATTTCATAACATTCTACACCAAAATATAAAATATAACAAGTACGTATGTAGTGTATATATTAGATCCCACAACTAAAGAAAATATTTGTAAAAAATTTCATAATATTCTAAATTATTTGTAAAATGTTTTCATAACATGCATATCAAAGCTTTGAACTAAGTTATCATAAAAAAAATAATTATACCGTTTAAATATTTTCAAAATTTAAGATAGGCAAACTACAATTTAATATATGTGCACAAATCATTAATATATAATTTTTACATTTTAATTTTTAATGAATATTTATTTCTTCGATTTTATTATGTATATGATTATAACTTTATAATTAATTTATTACATAAAGTCCAAATTGAATTGAAAATAATAGTGTGGTTTAATTTGTAAAGTTGTAAAATATGTGGGTAGTATTAAAAAGTAGTAAAAGTTGATGTAAAAGAGAATATTCAGAGAATATTCTTTTGGGTTTGAGAATAAGTTTTTTGATTGGAGACGAATTACTGCAAAATGTGATAGTTACTGCAAAATGAGTTTGAGTATGGAGTATTCGGTTGGAGATGGCCTAATGGAACAGTGTTGGGCTCCAAGTCCTGCACTAAGGCCATCTTTTACAGAAATAGCGAGTCGGTTACGCGTGATGTCTGCACCAGCCCAGACAAAGAAATCGGCTACATAGTAACTGACATCACAACAGATTTGTTCATTCAATTCTACACACATTTTTCAGGGACAATGAGCAGTTTGTCAACAAATTGCCTATATATATAAAGTAATAAACTCATTACATATTTGTATATGAAGCTTTTCTGAACTTTGCAGAATTGTGTTGTATATAGGCCATTTGAGGATTTCTAGATCATAATATGCAAAAAAAAACAATGACATGATTGCATGTCTTAACTTCCACCAACTTAGCTAAAAAATCTACTTAGTTAATATAGAATGTTATTTTCCTAATCTGTATATTAAATTACCATTAGTGAATAGTCATAATCTAAAAACTTATTTCAATATTTAAATGCACCATTTTTTAGTGGAAATTTTTAGTACTAAATTACCCCTTCTATGTGGTAAAAATCATTCTATCACTTGTTCATGTTTCACTATTGTATTTACGTGTTGTCTATTAAATGTAGTAGCAAGTCCAAATCTAACTAAATTTTTTATTTTGTGTTTCTCGTGTCCTTTTTTTGAGTTGTGTTTCATCTTGTCATTTATTTATAATCGTTTTATTTATGTCATACTGTGTTTCATATTGTATCAAGGACACTCTTTTCAGGTCAAAACTCGCACCAAATTAAATTTTGGGGCTCAACTTTTTTATTCCTTTTGAATTTCTTTTAACTATAAAGTATTCAAAGGACACCAATCAAGGTAGCCTAACAGGTGGAATCTCTTCTCCAGGTGGGCCTTCTTCGGGCTGAGCCTGGCCTGGTGGGCCTTCCTCCAGCGGCGGGTCCAGTGGACGGCCTTGGGCTGTGGTTCCACCAGCACCATTACAGCCAGTATGGCATACACACTTCAGAATTTGCAATGTCCCCCCAAATCCTTCTTTTTCACAAATTGTCCCACAGTTTCTCGAACGGAAGCAAGCTCCGGTGAATAATCTGCTCTTGGCTTCGCACTCGGTTGATTCTCCATACATTATCATGTCCTCTTCATAAAAATATAAAAATAAAATATAAAAGTTGAATACAAATTCTTATACTATTGAAATGTCATACATCTATTTATATTATTTTTTAGACTACGATATTTAAATTGGAAAAATTGTACATATGTTAAAAAAGTATAGCTATGTAATTGTTAACCTGCTATCAACCAACGTTATACAAAGTTCAAATATGTCTTTTGGTCTTCCATTGTGATCACAAATTCTAAAAATCAGTTAAAAATGGAAGGTCCTTATTTCTTTAATTTGAACCCAATAATATGCTAATAAACATTTTTTTTTTATTATTATATAAGTTGGACTTTTGGGTGAATTTTCATTGGGGTCCCCCTAAAACTTGAAAATTAATCTATAGTGGATGTTTGGAACTAATTATTTTTTAACCCGATCATGCAATGACTTGAAATGGCCTTCAAATCACCTAATCAATTACTGAATTACTAACATAAAATAACAAAAAGAAATAAATTAGGTATAAAATTTTAACTCGAAGTGAAAGAAAAATGACTTACGAAAAACCAAGAGAAGGAAAAATAACGCATGACTTGTGAGTTTGTGAGCCATTGTTGATCAGTTGTGAAGTTTTAGTTGTTTAAGGATCCCATATGAAGCAAGCTTTTATAGTGAAACAAAAGAGAAATGAACTGGCCTTGCTATATGCATTTTTCCAAGGGCGGTAAATTTGCATTGATAACCAATTTCCCCATGAAAAATGAGAGGTAAAATAACACATTAGTAACTTTCCCATGAATATTACAGTAGAATGTTCATATTAAAAAAAAATTGGAAAAAGAAGATTGGTTGAAAATTTGGTGATTTTCTAATGTAAAGCGATTTATAGAAAGGGTAGAATTTATTATAATATTTTTTGAATCTATATTCTAAATTATGTGAAAAACAAATTCTATTAATATAAACATGAGATAAACAGGCATTTCAAGCATGAACATATAAATAGTGTTTGGTAAAAAAGATTGAGCAACCATTTCGACCTTGATTTAGTGGTCGGTGAATTATTATCTGAGTTGTTTGGCTAGGAGGGTTTATATTAGAATTTTATTCCCAAACACTGAGAGAGAGAGAGAAAAAAAAGGTACAAATATAAGTTTTTTGAACAGAGTGGATTGCATATCTTTATAAATGATAATTTTGCCTATTAGTTCTATAAATCATTAATAAACATAAATCAGTTTACAATCAAATGTTTAATTAACTAGTGATAATATTTATTTTTTTATAAAATAGAAGTGATATGTTTGTATACTTGGTACGCAAAAGACCTCGGACTGGATGGAATCGGTCTGAACTCGAGCTTCCTCGTCGGTAAATCGCCTGCGAACTAGCAAAAACTCTTACACCGGAAGGGTTTCCGATGAAGAGCATCCGATGCTTAAATAAACACTTGTAGAAGAAGAAGTGCAGAAAATAGTATGTGAAATAATAATAGAGAATGTAATGTGATAATGAACATACCTCACTCCCTTATATAGGGAAGGTGATACCTTGTTGCTCAAGACTGCCTAGATGGACTGCCCGAACTACCCAATAGTACCACCCAAGATGCCCGATCTGCCCAATTGTGTTAAGCTACGTGGCCTTATCCACGTGATCAAGATTTCTTTTTATCTTTTAATCTTTCTTATTAGACTGCCTAATGATGCAACCAACTCGATGTTCGCTAAGGAAGACCGTTGCCTACTCTGAGACCAAGTGTTACTCTCTCTGGTCGATCGTACAATCAGTCGTATCTGCAGGCCGAGTTTTCCAGCAGGCCATTCAAGGTCCCTAACTCGACCTGTCGTTGCCTTCTTGTATCCTTGGTGTTGTCCTCTATCTAAAGGCTTGTGGTCCTGCGTTAGTGGTGCTCGACCACTGATGGTACTCCTGTGATTCTATTCGACCAAACGGTTTGTTTTTATTGGGTTTATTCCCGCAAGTACGGTATCCATATCAATATATAAATGACTAGAAAATATTACATTTATTAATTTTAAATTAATCACTAATGATTTTAAATTAATATCTAGACATATATTACAAATAAAATTTAACCAATACTAAATATTTGGCGATTATATATTGTTATTACATTATCATCTATTAATTATTTATCAAACAATTTATATATCTTTATTCAATTCAAATGATAATACAANCGTTTCGATTAAAAAAAAAAAAAAGATAATACAATCCAATATCTATATATCTTTATTTCAATTCAAAAAGATAATACAAATCCAATATCATTTATATACTTCCAAATATAGAATTGAGGATCATACTTTTTCAAACATAGATGCATACTTCCGTAACGGTTAAATAGGGGCATAAGTTATATCAGTTTTATATATATCCAGGATAAAAAATAATTAAGACAATGATATATTTCTGAAACAGTAAAACTACAGTGATGTTATCCCATAATTGTGCAAACATACCATATAGTTTATTGTAACATTTCTCTCTATATATAAAGAAGGCACCAAACACGATTTCCACACCACAAAATCTCATCAAACCCTAAATTTGAGTACTCACCAAATCGATCATTAATTAACATGAACTTACATTGGGCTATCACGTTTATGTTCTTCCTTAGTGCCATTATTGATCTAAGCCACGGCGAATCTCGACCGTTGAGTGTTCTGTCTACGCTGTGTGGCCATGGAGGAAGGATTCCGAAAATTCCGCCTCCTCCAAAAGCTCTATATAAAGGCGTGAAGCCAAACGAGCCCTATCAGGAAGGGTCGCCGGAAGTCACATTGCCGCCAAAATATTTTTTCAATTCCGGCAAGAGATTGGTGCCGACGGGCCCCAACCGGGAAGAGTCGCCGGAAATTCCATCGCCGCCAAAATATTTTTTCAATTCCGGCAAGAGGTTGGTGCCGACGGGCCCCAACCGGGAAGAGTCACCGGAAATACCATCGCCGCCAAAATATTTTTTCAATTCCGGCAAGAGATTGGTGCTGACGGGCCCCAACCGGGAAGAGTCGCCGGAAGTCCCATCGCCGCCAAAATATTTTAAAAAAGATAAATTTTAGTGGAATATTGAAGAAATTCTCTTGTGATTTCTAGAGCTCCAAATTAATCCAATTTATGGAATGATATTTGAAGTCATTTTCACGTAGTTTTATCGTTCGAAAAACAAAAATAAATAATTCACGTTGATGTGACTTCTATAAAAATAACTCGTAAACTTAATTTGACTAATAACATAACTTGTAAGTATATCTAACACTTTACTTATTATTAATTGTTTATATAAGATATATTAAATTAATTAATAGTTTTTTTTAACAATCTTGAATTAAATATTCATATTTCATATATAGAATAAAAAAACGAGTACACAATTTTTGTCTGCCAAATTGTGAAAAGTTGATCGATTCTTTTCATAACTCAATAAAATAAATATATGTAAAACGGTTACGAATAATTTTTGAAGCATGCGATGCTATAAATTTCCTAAAATTTGAAATTTTATAATAGGAATTAATATATTGTTAAAATTTGAAAATTTAAATTCATAATATGAATTTAAAATTTGAAGTTTCATATTATGAAATTTCATAAAACGAGTACTATTTCTGTCAGCAGAACCAAGGAGGTTGATGAAGCCAACTTTAGAAAAGTGAGCACGGGCAAAAAGAGAAATTTACCCTACTCCCAAGGAAAAACTCTCTATAGGCACGTGAATGTTTTGCAAATTCTCTAAAGTAAGTTTTATGAGGTTTATGTATAAAAAAGTAAGAATGAGGTTTTAGATAATGTGACATATTGAAAATAGAGATATAAGGTTTGTATATTTGTGTTATTAAAGAGCAAAAAACGACCTAAGTTCGGACTCAACGGGGGTAGGACACCCCGATAATATCTTGGTTCAGCCAGGGACATAGTCCTACCGAAGGGGACGAAACTCTGTGCAAACCGAGCGAAAAGAAAGATGCTAGGCTCGCCAAATGGTCAGCTGCAAAATTCGCCTCCCTATGCACATGTTGTATTCGAAGTTGCCAATCCCAATGAGCCATGCTTCGAATAGTCCCTGTAACTGCGTTCAGGTTAGGAAGCTATTAGATGAATAAGTGTTGTCACGTTTTTTGATTTTTTGCACCTGTATGCATCGGCGCCAAGATTATCCTCGGAGCCAAGCACCATTTATGTCGCACATTCTATCTACCTCGGCAACCACTTTCCGAAAACCCAACTCTCATGCCAACTAAAGACGCAGAAGAAGACCCCAAAGCTCGGCACTGTTAAGGGTACAATGTCCAATATTCATGAGAAATCCCGTGATCCATCTTCCCGACTCGTCTCGAAGTAATCCTCCTGCACTGCTCAGTCCCGTAGAAGTATCAAAAGAACCGTCCGTATTCACCTTTATCCACCCCGAATCCGGCGGATGACAAAATATCAAACGATTTTCATAGCTAGCAGCTCCAATCTGTACATATGTCATCGTTGCTCGTCCATGCTGCTCGGCTAGGCGCAAAACCTCCATGCTCTTCGCCTCGCAAGATTGTGTGCGTTGGTTAAAAACCCTGTCATTACGCCAATTCCACGTTCGCCATGCAGTGAAGGCAAAGAGGATCTCCCAGTTGCCAGCCCTTCCCGTCTGTGACCCCACCAAATTTGTACGCATCCATAGCTTGAGAGGCAGGAAAAAGTCGCGAGCAAGACCCTCCAGGAGAAGACGGGTCCACAAACTCTTGGCAGCTAGGCAATCTCGAAGGACATGCAACACCAATTCGCACTCCCCACAAAGATCACAATTCGCCGAGATGGAAATATGCCGCCGGACCCGTTCTAAATTGGTAAGGAGCCGACCCTTGGCGATTAACCACAAAAAATTCCGGATCCGCTGTCGTACCGACGAACGCCAAATTAATTTCCATAAGTTGAGGTCGGGATCGCTTTCTGAATGAGACAGAGCCTTATATGCGAAACGAACGGAAAATCTACCATCATGGGAGAATTTCCAAATGATGCGGTCCTCTCCAACCGTTGATTTCGGGGGGAGCGTGTTAGTGTTATATACTAAAAGTTTGGCTTTACATGTTATTACACATTTGTTCTTTATGAATGAGAATTGTGTTAGATTAAACAAGTTCTACGTTCTGTTGTTCTGCACTTAGATAGGGTGGGTCATCATCGGGCAAACCGAAGATCACTCTATCAGTCATTTGCGAACAAGAATAGTTGTTCACAACCTAGATGGACATGAACACCCCATCCGAACGGTTGTAGTGTCAACTGTACAGTTTGTCTTGACTGATTAGTTACACTAGTACATTTATGTATTGAACAGGATCCCAGAGAGGAGAAGTTCATTTTATACTGATCGTCGTAAATGAACTACGCCTCGGTTAATTACTGCGTTCTCTTAACCCGTAAGATATTAAACAGACAAATATATATAATAAATATTACTTTGATTCACATGGGTGAGGTTCAGTTCGCTGGATTAATATTCCTACTGTTTTGGGTAATATTATTATATATAGGATGTGCTGTTAGAATATTTACGGTCACCATGTGCGTTAGTTTAATGATGTCCCCGGAGTGAGTTCATGAAGGATTGTTATGCTAAACCCTGCAGGTGGATTAAGTTCCGGCATAATAAGAATCTGATGAACGAGCGCTAGCTTCGGTGAAATAATAATAAATTAATTAATTCTTGATTGTCAGTAATCGAATTAATTAATGGACATTATATCTTAAATGTGAGGAGATAAATCGAGTAATTATTATTGGAGTCTCAAATGTAATTTGGGCTAGAAAAAAGGTAGTGCAATAATATAATGTTGGTGACCCATTAATATTATTTAATTAATTAGAGGAGTGAGCTTGGCCCACAGTTAGTCTAATTAATTAAGGAGCCATTTTCCTAATCATCTAAGGGTCCCTATAGCTCTATATATACATCATTAAGCTAATGAGAAAAGAAGACATCTGTTCATTATATATAAACACACGCCCCACGCCTCTCTCTCTCTCTAGATCTCATTCGAGCTTTATCTTATTCTTGTTGCTCCACTGATACAAGTTGAAGAAGGGTGTATTGAGTAATACAGTAAAAGATCTGTAGGTAAACCGAGACGAAATATATTTTATCCTACAGAACTAACCGGAGGTCCGATTGAGACGTACAGCATACCCAGACGACCGTCTCGACGAGAGCTTTCCATCGCCGCCGCGGACGCCGGATTCTGACGCTGAACGCGCCCTCACGCGCCGTCTCAAGCGGTCTGGCTGCAAGTTTGGTTTTAACCGTTTGCACCCGTTTGATCCGGTTTTGATCTGATCTTGTTCGTGCAACCCAAGACGTGATTTGCGGTCAACCGTTCGTGGTCAACCAGATCTACATAAATTTTAAACCGTAAGTTCTCTACGTCAAACCTTTAGATCCACTGCGCATAGGTTTACGTTTGCTATTGAATTCGTGACTTGTACATAACGAGATCCTCATAGATCCCAACAGAGTGTGCCTGCGATACGTAATATTACAGATGAGGGAGAGATTCCATGGAACAAATCCCACATCCACCGACCCAACTCATCTACAAAGTTGGTGACCGGCATGTGAAGACACTCGACCAGCGGTTGATGAGACGCGTACCTTATCAAAGGTAATTCCGAACCGAGCCATGGTCAAGCCAGAATCTGGCCATTTCCCTGTTTCCGAGTACCCGAGCGAATCCCTCGTTAGTAATACAATTAATAAAAATATTTTCTTTTCTCGCCAAAAGACGTTACAAAATTCTTTCATTAATATTTTTTTTTTCACTTTACTCACTATTATGTGAATGTTACCGTCCTTATTATTCAACTTTTATATGTAATATAATTTGTAATCTTCTTACATAATTTTAGTCATTTGTGTTTTATCACCACTTAACCTATATTTTATTTTATTTTTAATTCTTGATTTATTTAGCAAATTTGATCCGACCGATTTAATTTAATAATAAACTAATTTTTGAATTTTCGTTTATGTTATGAAAATGTGTAAGGGAATCATACATTAATATTACATTACAAACAAAATACAAACTCAATTAAATGGCAAATAAAAAAAATCTCCAGTTATCTCTTCCAATGGATAATTAATTGTCACTTTAAATTGAGCCCACAATCTATTTATGTGTGAATAATCATTTTACAATATTTTTTAACATATATATATATATTAATTATTATTGATTTTATAAATCCTATGTTACTACATTTAGCAAATTCAATTTTCTTATACTCACCTTAGTTGTTGCACCTTTTTTTAATGTTATTTCTTAATTTGCTAAAATAAATTAACAATAAGTAATTATTTGACACCATACTTTCAGCCCAAAATTTATGTCAAACAATTGGGCTGTATGCTTTTAAAAAGATTTTATTTTATCTTTCTATTCGTAGATTTTATGTTTTGTTTTTTATTTTGAAATATATATATATATATATATATATATATATATTTGTTGACAAAAAAATTATGAATAATTTTTGTCATTTGTCTCTCATTTTTGTTATATTTTGCATTAAAAAAGTAATTATATTTTATTTATTTAGTAATAACCACTACTACATGCTTCACAGTAAGCCCATTAAGATACCTGTAATCAACACATAGTCTCCAGGTAGAGTCCTTCTTCTTGACCAATAATCATAAAGTCACATTAAATGACATTTTATTTTAATTTTTGTTTAAAACTATTCTTTTAAACTATTATTTTTTTTATTTCATTAAACAAGTTTCTTATTATAATTAGTTAATTGTTTTTTATGGCATAATAAAGCTACTTAAAATTTCGTACACAATTGTTATAATAATAATGTAATACTATTTTATCTAATTAGTTGGCCATAATCAACTAAGATGGCAAAAGTTATATTATTGCAATTAATATAAAAGTTAATATGTAAGTTAAATAATTTATATTTATCACTAACTTTTACTAATGTTAAAATCTATAAAACAGTGATATGGCAATTATCTAACTTATTATAACTATTATATACATACATATAATAAATAAAATAAAATATTATTTGTATTGAATACTAGTATTTAAATAAAAAGATGTTTAGTGAAATTTTCCTTATATTATAACATAGATAAGAGATATTGTAATTGGGAATTAAATAAATAATAAGATATGCAGACGCCTGAGCACAACCGGGTTTAGGCTTTATAGGCTACAACCTAAATGATTCTCGAACACACTATATAATTTCTCGACCTTTCCATTGTCACTGTGATCTGTGAACCACATTTTTTTTTTTCGTCTCGACAAAGAACATCAATTTCCGATCGAGGTAAACAATCGACTCCATTATTTTTCTTTCAGATCGTCGTGTTTTCTAAGCGCAGCTTTGTTGACATACTCTCATCTCTTGGTTTGGCTGTTGTTTTTTCTTAAAGGAATTTTTGCTTGAGCAGTAAGAAATGGCGACCAAGAAGAGCGTGGGGTCACTGAAGGAAGCCGATCTGAAGGGCAAAAGGGTTTTCGTGAGGGTGGATCTGAACGTGCCCTTGGACGATAACTTCAACATCACCGATGATACCAGGATTAGGGCCGCCGTCCCAACTATCAAGTACTTGATCGGCCATGGAGCTAGAGTCATCCTCTCCAGCCACCTCGTGAGTATCTTGATGAGTTTGAAATGGCGGATCTCTGTGATTGTTTGTATGTGTTTCTCAGTTTCTGCTTGTTGCTGACCTTCATTAGATTTGCCGACCTAGATTTTTGTATGGATTCTGTTTGTTTCGATGTTTCATTTGTGTTTGTTTGTTTGTTTTGGCTTGTGATATGGATTTCAGCTATAGACTTGTCATCTTTCTCGTTATTATGAAATTTTCTATTTGCAACCATCCTTGTATTATTGTCTTGGTTTATTATTTTATAATCTTCTGTTGGGAATGTTGGTCTTATTGTCTTGTTTGCTATATTGATATGCATCTAAATTTTTATTATTTTTAGTGTAAGCAAATGAAAAGTAGTTTCTGATTTTCTTCTATTTTGTCTGATTCCCTGAATTAACATCTACATAATATGTTCCTTGTGAATTTGCTTTCTGTTATCTTTTGGGTGATTATATTTGGGACATTCTTGAATCAGTAAGTTACGGTTGTTGTTTAACTATAATGCTTGTAATGAACTTTGTAAATGGTGTGATACCTTTACTGTGGGTTTTCAGGGGCGTCCCAAAGGAGTCACACCAAAGTACAGTTTGAAGCCTCTAGTTCCTAGGCTTTCTGAGCTTCTTGGAGTTGAGGTAGTTAATAATACGAAAATCTATTAATGCTCTTGCAAATGGTTTTCGCCAATAATACTCCAACGATATGCTTTTTCAGGTCAAGATGGCCAATGATTGTATTGGAGAAGAGGTTGAGAAGCTGGTGGCCAGCTTATCAGATGGTGGTGTTCTTCTCTTGGAAAATGTCAGGTTTTACAAAGAAGAGGAAAAGAATGATCCCGAGTTTGCCAAAAAGCTTGCATCCCTTGCGGACTTATATGTTAATGATGCATTTGGAACTGCACATAGAGCACATGCCTCGACTGAGGGTGTTGCCAAGTACTTGAAGCCTTCTGTTGCTGGGTTCCTTATGCAGAAGGTTTGTGTGTGTTTTTTACTCCTTGGGCTATCACTGTATCTATCTTTACTTAATTTTCCATCTGTCCCACATTGATAGGATTGTTTACTATTTTCCTTTGACCCTTGAATAGCCTCTTTCTTTATTTAGAACGATGCCTTTATTATTAACACAAAGGTGATGTTAGGGAATGCTCGTAACTTTTACTATGTCAAAGCAGTAAGAATGGTGAACAATTATTTTTTATTGGGATGGAGAGAGTAGAACGATGCCTTTCATTCTGTACCATTTGCACTTTGTACTCATTTTTTATGGCTTTCATTTGTCTTTCTAAGCTTTGAATTCTTTACTGTATTCTTAGGAGCTTGATTATTTAGTTGGGGCTGTGTCGAATCCCAAAAAACCATTTGCTGCAATTGTTGGCGGCTCAAAGGTGTCCAGCAAAATCGGTGTTATAGAGTCTCTGTTGGAGAAAGTTGACCTTCTCTTACTTGGTGGAGGGATGATCTTCACATTCTACAAAGCCCAGGGGCATTCTGTGGGGTCCTCACTTGTCGAGGAGGATAAACTTGACCTGGCGAACTCACTTATGGAGAAAGCGAAAGCTAAGGGCGTGAATCTCTTGTTGCCTTCTGATGTTGTTATAGCCGACAAGTTTGCAGCCGATGCTAATAGCAAGGTGTGCAACTTTTAATTTGACTCTCTGTTATTCTGAAATCCTTTTCAATTTTTTCGATAGTTGATTGTGAAAGCTGCTATGGAATGATATCTGGTGTTGGGTAGAACGGTTATGTTTTTGCACTGAGGAGGAAAGTTCTGATTTTTTTGTGTTTTTTTTTTTTATTATTATTTTTATTTTTTCTTTTTCCATTTCGTTTTGTAGATTGTTCCAGCATCTGCGATTCCTGATGGCTGGATGGGTTTGGATATTGGTCCTGACAGTATCAAATCATTTGGCGAAGCTTTGGATACTACCAAGACCATAATCTGGAATGGACCTATGGGTGTGTTTGAGTTTGATAAGTTTGCAGCTGGAACCGAGGTACTTCAAAATCAAATACTAAGGGCGTGCTCTTTTACAAATTAATCCTCTCAAAATTATTTTTTTTGTTAACCAAGGTAAATTTTGAAAAATGTGATACAGTTAGTTATTAGTGGGATTTTGAATTTATATTAAAATAATATTTAAAATAAAATAACTAAAGTTGATTTGATGTGAAAGTAAGAGAGATGATGTGGATTGATAGTTCGTTAAAATTATGTAAGTGGATGAATTAATAGTTAATTAAAGTTGTTGCGATGTGTAAGAATGATTGGTTTGTATTATTTAATTATATGAATAATATTAAGGATAGTGGGGTTGAATTAAAGTTGAGTTAGATTTTGAGTATGGATTAAATGTGAGTGAAATATTTTGAAGCACCCCCTAAATCCACTCGAGTTTTAGCCTATAATATCAGGATAACCAAAGTAATTTTTGAAATTACCCCCTTTGAGTTACTGTAATCACTTTGAATAAAACCGATTCAGATATCAAAGTGGGAGTGTCAAAGACTAAACCTTTTTACGAACAAATCCTCAGACATTGAATAAGTGTGTAGTTTCCGAATTAAGATTGATGTAATTGCCCGATATCAGGCTATAGCCAAGAAATTGGCAGAGCTAGGTGGAAAGGGTGTGACAACTATCATTGGAGGAGGAGACTCGGTTGCTGCTGTCGAGAAGGTTGGGCTTGCGGACAAGATGAGCCATATCTCGACTGGAGGAGGTGCCAGCCTGGAACTTCTCGAGGGCAAAACACTTCCTGGTGTTCTTGCTCTTGATGAAGCTTGAGCAAAAATTCCTTACGTTTCTCCCTTTTTGTTCAGTTTGTGTAACAAGACTTATCTTGCAGATTGGTAGATCAAATTTTGATAATAATCTGTATCGTGATTTTGAGACGCGTTCCAGTAGTATTGATACTGAATAATATCAAATTTCGCCATTTTGGATACACTGATATTGAAGAATAGAATTTCGGCCAGTTCGGTTATATTACTTTTATCGATGTTGTATTTTATGTGATGAGTTTGTACATTGTACTTTTTTTTTTCTGCTCCAGTTGTTTCTTGTGTGAGTGACTACAGGAATGCCTTTGATGCTATTTATCTGTGTATATAGCTAATATATAGCTATGGACTGTAGATGGATCGATTATATAATATCAATAAAACAATTACAATAAAATCCAGTAAGTTCTCTAGAGTCGGTATAACAAAACTAACAAAAAAATTAAAATAAAATCCAATAAACTCTAACAAAGGGAGAATAACAAGTTCAAATCTGTTTCAATAAATGAAGGTCAAAGAAAGGATCGGGAAAATTATCATCCCAAAGGAACGTTGGTCTTAACTGAGAAAGTTGCAGCAATAAACAAAGAGAATTAATTTAAGAAAATGGGATTATAAAAGATGTGTCACGATCGCGATGGGACTCGAACCCACAATCTCCCGCTCCGGAGGCGAGCGCCTTATCCATTAGGCCACGCGATCTTTGCTGTAAGATTCCACGGGTCAAATTAATAATTGATACACATTGTACATAGTATTACTAACCATATGGAAATTGCAATGTGAACACACTTCGAAAATAATCTTTGATGTATGATTTTCAGAATGAACCAAGAAATGGGCTTTTGGTGTTCAGGTGAGATTGAAAGTTATATTTTATTTAATTTGATATATGGGATAAAATGAGTAAAAATTTTAATTTGGTTTGAGCTTGTGAATGGATGAGTTAAAATATAATAATTAAAATTGATAGAATTTAAAGGTAATGATTAAAATTAAGTATAGAAATAGGAAAATAGTGATTTTAAATGATTGATAGTTAACAGACATTTGGCAATCTTCTTTACCGTCAACAGCCATTTTCTTCTTTGGGAGTAATTTGCTCTTCATCTGCTTATGTTTTGATAACAGCAAATGACAACCGTAGCTGTATAATGGGACTCTTTAGCGCCAACGGTTTTCACTTTCTCAATCGAATTCATCTTACATCAAGAGAATAACCAATAGAGAGCAACGAAAAACACGAAAACTAACTAATGAATGGATTATAGAAAAAGACAAACATTAACTACACAAGAGATTTCACCCAAAATCCGCACCTTATGAGATGGCACTTTCAGTCACACTCAAACATCTGTGAAAGCTAAAAGACCGAATGCCAAAATATCAACAACAAAATATAAACATTATGCTGATGAGCACATGAGCACGTTCACCTTATCGAAAGGAATCAACAGCAGCAAGAA